GAAGCGTTAACAATTCCCTGGAACCAGGCTCGTGTACCCTCCCGAGCTGCCAGTGCCAGCCAGGAGGGACACGGATCCAACAAACATGTGGTTGCATTCAGCCCCCCCAGGACCCTGTCTACGTCCTCGGGAGCAACAGAGTCAAACTCCTCCCATACAACCATCTCAAGACCTGCTTCCGTCTCCTCCCCCTGGGCCAACCAGTCGGAGTCTAAGCCTTCTCGGATCCGCGCGACTTTGAACAAAGTCCTCGGCTCTCCCCTCCAGGGGATCCCCCCCCTTATTGCAGTTATGCAGACAAATCATTATTCTAATAATTGTTCAATTTACTATATTATTATATTATTAATGACATGTATGTTGCCTTTCTTTCCTTCAAGGAATGTATAAAATACATTCGCATATTAATACAGAGGAGTCGGAGTCGGAAGTACAAAAAACTGAGGAGTCGGAATCGGAACATTTATCTACCGACTCCACAGCCCTGCGAGGAACCGCCAGCGAGGTCAGGGGAACACTTTGAAGGACCCAACTGCCATCTTTACTGTGGGAGCTGCCAAAGCCTTCGGGGTTCTCGAGATGGAATTAGATCAGGGCAGCAGCTCCACTAACGACCATCAGGGGGCAGCAAAGGACAGGACTTTGCGCCATCTGCTGGCCCTGGGGAGTCCAACAGCCCTGAGATGCTCATCTCAGGTTTTCTTTGGAGGGCCACTCCTAGCCAGCCTTCCTGCCCAGGAGGTGGGGCACCGGCTCTTCCCAGATTAGCACCTCACAACCACCTGCCCAGGTAGTCTGGCCAACATGCTCTAGAGCAGTGGTGGCGAACCTTTTAGAGACCGAGTGCCCAAACTGCAACCCAAAATCCACTTATGCATCGTTGGGTGCCGGGTGGGCGCGGCCCATTGGGTGGGTGTGGCCCATTGGGTGGGCATGGCTGTGGTGGTAATGGCAGACTGGGTGGGACTAAAAAGTTCAATCAATCAATTCCAACTTTGCAAGATCTTTTTTCCCCCGCGAGAAGTTGAAATTGACTGATTGATTGAACCTTTTTTTTTTTGGCACACGGCAGCGGAGGCCTAGGACTGGGGTCACGGACTGGGGTCTGAGTGCCGCCTCCGGCACCCGTGCCATAGGTTCGCCACCACTGCTCTAGAGCTTGAGATATCCTGGCCAGCCCAGTAAAGTTTGATTTGATTCACACAACACTACTCTCTCTGTAGGATCTAACACCCACATTCACGTTTGCTAAGTGTGGCAGTCTTGAGCTGGATTTGTGGGGCTGTGCCTGTTGTCCAAGTCCAGCCATCATTACTTCCTGCCTGAGTTCAAGCTGTTCTCTCAGTTGCCCCATCTCGGGGGCAATCCTGGTTCCAGTTGAAACCTTTCCTGAAGGAGAGATAAGGAGCCAGAAACTGTCCTCTCCTAAAAATACAGATTGTGGACACAAAACAGAGACCAAGAATTCTTCCACCTGGTTCTGCTCCAGTCAACCACCACTGATATGTAGGTTCTGAGGTTTTGCTTGATAAAGAAATACAGGGAATCAGAAGTTGCCTTCAAGCTTTACGTTTTTATTCAGCTGAATAGAGACGGACTCCTCTAAATGAGAGGAGCCCCGAATGACAAGAAATCCTTGTATTTATTCTTTCTAATTACATAAGCAACCCATCCAGCAAAGCTGACACACATAAGATAAAGATTTCACCCAGTAAGTCTGGC